GCCTCATGCGTCAGCGGGGAGCGCCGTCAGGTCCGCGCTAGCCGCACCACCCTTGCGGTGCTTGAGCCCGTTGTGCAGCCAGTGCCTCAGTTAACATCATGGAGGGTCTTTGCCTTTTCGCGGACCCTCCGCTTCGTCAGGCACCATGGCCTTCAGATAGCCCCCGATTTCTGGCTGCTTGAGAGAACATTTTTTTAAATTGGTCTGATTTTTTTTTTTTTTTCTCCCCAAGTTTTTGAGAGTCGACCAAGACAAAGACAAGAATTGTAGCTTGGATTGTGCGGGCTCTTCTCAGAAACCTCTCTGCGCTTCGGACGGAAGGACCTTCTTGTCCCGTTGTGAATTCCAGCGCGCCAAGTGCAAAGACCCCCAGTTAGAAATTGCTTACCGTGGAAACTGCAAAGGTAAGTGCCTTCTGACTCCTCAGCCAGAGACCGGCAGCCCCGCGGCTGTGCTCAGGGTCCTTGCGGTGCATTGTCACCTTTGCTGACGTGCTGTATTCAGAACTCGGGACGTGTGGACGCGTGAGTTTCGGAGCAGGTTGGACGCCATGTCCGTGGGCCCCGCTTTCTCGGAAGGTCTGGTGGAGTCCTGGGGTCCATTTACCCAAGTGCTCACACACTTGCCGCACCAACGTGAAGCCTCTTCTTGTCTCTCTTGGTAGCAGAGGGCTGTGCCCAGCCCCACCTGGCGGGTCCCCTGAGTTTTTGGGTGCTGATTTAACGCTTGTCATTTTTCACTTTCCTGACCTAAGAATAAGACTTAGAGTTAGCTGTTGTTGTTGTTATGTGCCGTCGAGTCGGCCCCGACTCATAGCGACCCCTCCTTGGGTTTCCGAGGCAGTATCACTACGGAAGTAGGATTGCCCAACCTTCCTTCCGAGGAGTGGCTGGTGGGTTTGAACCGCCAGCCGTCTGGTTAGCAGGCAAGTGTCTTAGCCACTACGCTACCAGAGCTCCTTAGCTAGCAGGCTTAAAACGAACTGTTGACATACCTCCCGCATTAACTAAGGCTTTAATGCTCAGCAAAATACGCTGGTGTTTCAAACACAAATAGAGTGCTTTTCAGAGAGATTTTCTTTCTGTCTCTTATCATCCAGGAAGAAAGACCACACAGCCTAAAAACGCCTTTCAGACAGGTTTCCGCACTGTCTCCCTATGAGTGCCAACAACCATCTTAAATCAAACAAAACAAAGGCACCACCAGCACACCAAAAGCCAGGAGGCAGGTACTGGGCCAGCTCTGTCCTTAGGCAGGCTTGGCAGCAGTGTGCTTGGCATCTGAGGAGGCAACGTAAGACTTGAGAGAATGGAGCCGGGCCTCCCCTTCAGATGGAAGTCAGATTGCTGCCTTCTTTTGTAGGCCTGGGAGGTCTTCCTGTTGCCGCACGATGACATTTCTTTACATTGGGGCTGAGCCCTCTGGGCCAGGGGAATAGCATAACACATTGGAGTCTTGGGCTTGGCTCGGCAAGGGACCGTTTCCCTGTCCACCATGGGTGTGGTGTCCGTAGGCACCTGGGTCGGGAGCAGGGCCTTGTTAGTGTGCATGCGGTGCTCTGCCCATGACCTTACAGCTGCACATCATCGAGGTGGTTTCCTGTCATCCTGGTTTGTTTGCATTGACAGGAGCTAAGACACTTGCTGTTGGTTGGTGCTCTCTTCGCTCCTACCCATGGCAACTCCGTGTCGTGGCTACTCCATGTGTGACAGGGCTCAGTGTTACCCAGGCCTGGGCCATCCTCACAGTCCTTGGCACGCTCAAGGCCATTGCTGGGGCAGCTGTGTGGTTTGAGTGGCTCTGACCCTGGGTGCTGTCTCCAGCACTGTACTGAGTGACACTGTGTGTGATCTGAGTGGCTCTGGCCCTGGGTACTGTCTGCAGCACTGTGCTGGGTCATGCCCCGTGTGGTCTGGGTGGCTCTGACCCGGGCACTGTGCCCAGCACTGTGCAGGGTGATGCCCTGTGGGGTCTGATTGGCTGTGACTCCCGGGCACCATCCCCAGCACTGTGTGGGGTGATGCTCCGTTGTGTCCCCGAAGTTTTCCCGGCTCATTCCCAGAAGTCGATGACCAGGCCTTTCCTCCCGTCTGTCTCTGTCTGCGAGCTTCCCTGAAACCAGGTCACCGTGCTGGCGTTTGCAATACTGGTGACCTAGTTTCTAGTATCACAGTGCCACACAAGCCACCACATAGAACAGAATAACACGTGGGAGGTGGCTACAAACCTTACTTGACATGCTGGGGTAAGAGGGCATGATGCTGCAGGCTTTCAAGAGTGCCTGTCTGACTTTGCGGTCACATGCCATCCCTAACCTGTTCCCTAAATGGTGGAGTTGTTCCTCAGCCTGTGCAGAAGGGCTCATACGAGACACAGCAAGAGCCCAGCGAGGGCCCAAGACAGTGTGAGATGAAGGTGGAGGAGCCGATGTGGGGTCACACAGTGCAGGGCTGCCGGATCATTGTCTCTGCACTCATCTTGTGGGGAACCGAGAGCTAGAGAGAGCTGGGGCGGCGGAGGGGTGCATGCCGAATGTGGATTGGCTTGGAGAACACTTGACCCAAGGCTGACCTGGCTGCCCGCCCCTCAGTGCTCCCAGGCTTTGGACCATGGTGTGTCCATGATCCAAGTCAACGGATAACGTTGTTGTTGCTGTGGAGGCAGTTCTGACTCGTGGCGACCCCTGGTGTGCAGAGTGGAACTGCTCTGCAGTGTTTGTAAGGCTGTGGTATTTCTATGTCAGATGGCCAGGACTTCTCCTGAGGCACTTGTGGGTGGGTTTGGACCACCAACCTTTCTGCTAGTAATGACATGCTTCACTGTGCCACCAAGGGGAAGGCGTTCCCACCAGCATCAGTGTGCATGGACCCCGGCACGTCCCAGTTCCCACTGAGGGGACCCCACCAGTCTACTTCTCACTAAGGGGACCCCACCGGTCCAATTCCACTGAGGGGACCCCACCAGTTCAGTTCCCACTGAGGGGACCCTACCAGTCCAGTTTCCACCAAGAGGACCCCACCAGTCCAATGCCTACCAGCACCGGTATGAATGGATCCTGGCATGTCCCAGTTCCCACTGAGGGGACCCTACTGGTCCATTTCTCATCAAGGGGATCCCACTGGTCCAATGCCCACTAGCACTTGTGTGCATGGACCCCGGCATGTCCCAGTTCCCACCGAGGAGACCTCACTGGTCCAGTTCTCACCAGCAACGGTGTGCGTGGACCCCTGAACGCCCCAGGAATCTGCCAACACCGGTGTGCATGGACCCTGGCACGTTCCCAGAAGGGTCTATAGAATGAAGGGGTCAGCTACATCTAGAAGAAAATACATTTTCAGAGCTGTGGTGGTGCAGTGGGTGATGCAGTGGATGAGGCACCTGGCTGCTAACCAAAAGGTTGGTGGTTCAAACCTACCAGCTGCTCTGTGGGAGGAAGATGAGGCAGTGTGCCTCTGTAAAGATCTACAGCCTTGGAAACCCAATGGGGGTCACTATGAGTTGGAAATTACTCAACGGCCATGAGTGAGCTTGAGTTTCAGTAGCTGCTCAGTAGGCGGTTCGGCTTCCAAGGGAGGATGCCCAATGGGAAAGGTATTTGATTCCTGCTTTAAAGAAAAACCCACAGTGCCAGGCCCACATCTGGATCTAAACACATGGCGTGCCCAGGTGTTCAGGTGAACTCACTGGGTTAGTATGGCACAGTGGCTCAGAGTAGGGCCCATGGCCAGCAGTGACCCTATGGCCAGCATAGTCACCTGAATCTACTGAGACAGCTGGCCGCAGGATCTGCCCCAGGCCCACAGGTCTGTACCCTGGTGCTCAGGACCTGCCCAGGATGCCGGTCAGAGCCTGAAGAGTGGACTAAGGAATTTGTACTGATGCTGTCTTGGGGTCTCTGTGATGTGAGGGACAAAGCCCCATTTAGCAATGGCTGTTCAGTGATCATGGTGACAGGGACTGGCCCTGTGGGGACCATGGACAGCAAAAGCAGTTCTGTTGGAAAGAATCTTTCCTAATTCTGTCCCACGAGAAAATAATGGAGTTTAGGAGCTCGGTGAATAAGCAGACGATCGTTTCTATTGTAAAGAACCAACATAACTCCAAATTCCAGTTGATATTTGTCAGAAAAATAGCTCGGCTGTAAAGCACAGCTGTGTGACATCTTGTTGTAGAAAACGTCCCTGAAAGTGAAGGGGACCACAGTCCCATTGGCAGTGTGTGGCACTGCTCATTGACTCCCGTGCCTGGGCCTGCCATGTAGTTGTTGGGTGGAGTGTTCAGCAGGTAGCTGGCAGGTCGGCGGTTCACACCCACCCAGAAGCTCCTTGGAAGCCAGGCCTAGTGGTCTGCCTCTCAAAGGTCATAGCTTTAGAACCACACACGTGGGGTCGCAGAGAGTCAGAGTGGACTCGCTGGCAGCGTACCATCACCGAACCCTGTCCAGAGCACAGCACGCCTAGGGACTTTGCATCTTCCACGCAGCAAGGTGCAGAGGAGTCACTGAGGGTCTCCTCGTGGTGATGGGAATGTGGTGTGTACTTCCTTTGGTGACTTTCTGTACATGACAAGTTGTTTTCATCCATGAATGTCCATTCCTGCCTGTAGAAAACAGCAGAAAAGTATGCGTTCCATTGTCACCTACCCGTGGTCCCATCGGTCCAGTGCCTCTGTCCTTATCATGGGTTTATCAGCACATTTTTAGGTTGTAGGAAGTAAGGCTGTTTTATTTTAAATGTTGGTGGTGAAATTGTGAGTAAATGAGAATGCTCAAATTCATTTAATGGGGGATGTGTGCCTGTGTACCCACACACATTCACACAGTCACACTGTCATGCACATGCACCGGCACACTCACATGTGTGCACACACACTCGCTGACTCAATCTTATGTGCACACACACCAGCACACTCACGTGCACATACACACTCACTGACTCAGTCTCATACACACACTGGCACACTCACATGTGTGCACACATGCCCACTCATTCTTATGCACTCACTGGCACACATGTGAACACACTCACATTCAAACACACTGGCACACTCACACAGGTGTATGCACACTCAGACACATTCTCACATGCATGCACTGGCATGCTCACACATCTGCACACACTGGCAAACGTGTGGACATACCTGTACACTCCCATCCTCATGCGTACACACTAGCATGCACATGGTCATGCATACACAGTGGTACATGTGTGTGCACACATGGTCATGCATACACGCTGGCACACATGCGTGCACACACACGGTCACACATACACACTGGCACACACACATATGCACACAATCATACATTCTCATGCATAGACACTGGTATGCTCTCATGCCCACACACTCACATACTCACATATATTCACACATTCTCGTACCCACTCAAGCACAGATTTATCAT